AGCCTGTATTTTTAACCACTCACAATCTACTGATTCTGAGCCTCAGTTTTAAGTATTATAAAATGGAGTAATTACATGCCTACCTCACAGAATTGATGTGGAGAAAAACTGAAATAATAAGTAAAGCATCTAATATACTAAGTGCACTCAATAACGGATGCCCCTCTTCCTTCTCTTGCTCCAGTAGTGATTATAACATTTATAATAAAGGAAACTGTCCCTAAATGTGCCTTACCTATATCAAAACAGAGATATATTGGGTCTCAATTAATTCACAAAAGGAAAATACTAGCAGGTCAATAAGTACTTTTAACATAAACAGATAAAAAGGAAAAAAAGTGAAGAAAAACAACATATTCTACCTCATTTTAGGACTGGAACCCTGCTATTGATATTTCCAAATGTGATAAAAATATGTAAATATTCAAAATATATCAATATATCAAAAGTTAGGAGAGAAGAGCACGGAATCCAGAGACAAAAATTCATTGCGGCTTACAGGAAGACTCTCAATAGAACATATTCAATGATATTACCTTTTTTTTAAAAAGTACTTCTAGTGAGAAAGACAGATTTTGAACAAAGATAGAGACAATAAGGATAATCTTTCCGCCATAAGTTGTTTTGTTTTTTGAAAAAAGACTTTAATTCTCAATACTAAGCAGCCTAAAAAGATGGGGAGTTGGGAGTGGAATGAAGTGCAAAGAAAAAATTACAGCACTTTTGCTGTTAATTACCAACAAATCTATATACATCCTTTACTTTCTTTTATTCCCCTTTTTTTCCTCTTTTGGTACATAGTTACGACATTTATCTCTGATAGTTGTAAAGAAATTAAATCAGAACTATTTTTATTTAATTCCCTAATAAATAAGAACATTGGGTATATACACAAACCTAAGTACTGTGACTTAAAACAGAACAAGATTTTACATCAAGCCCATCTGGTGTTACATTAGGGTGTGTCCTATAGCAATCCAACCAAGGGTGACTGCCAAACTAAGCTACAGAAGACAACTCAGAAAGCTGGTGAGTCCTATAATATAAGCTCTATTTCAAAAAGTGCAAAAGATTAGCTGATACCACTCTACCCTCATAATAACTCTTCTATTTCTGAAATATTGTTTTCGTCACAAAAATATGGGCCAGTACTGGACATGGCAGACACCCTGAGAAGGTCACATTGTAGAGATAGCAGTTATCTAATTTACCCACAAGGTAATGTCACAATTGTATGTCCCAATCCTGATAACTTCATCTCTTTGCTAAGTTCTCTAAGAGGTAAATTGATTTCTTCAAGCCTCAATTTCCACATACGAAAAATAGAAATCATAATACACTTCTGCCTCACTAGGTTCCAAAAATGGAAACTAGCCAAGAAAAAAATTAATGTGAAGTACTCTGAAAAGAATAAACTAGATTCCCTGACCTGATTATTGGTCAGAGCCTTGTAAAACTAGACTTACTACTTCTACCGATTCCATACATGCCACTTGGTCATCAGACTGATAAATAGCATTGACTGTACAGTTGATCCACTTAAGAGCTTTAAAGTAATAGAAACAAATTTTGCATCATGATGTGTTTTCATACCCATTTAAGTAACTACTTGCAAAGTAAATTTGTACATAAACATTATAAAAAATAGATAAGAAAAATGAAATTAATTTAAAAATTTTGAACTTTAAACAATTTTCAAAATAGTCAGCTGCCAGTATAGAACACTCTGAAACCAATACTGAACAACTATGCAAGAATAGAAAATGAGCTAACCAAGAAAAAGAAGGAATCACAAAGTAAGTTTCATCTGATGGGCCGAAATACAATATGGAGTATTTTTATATTGTTCTGTCTGAGATGTCTGTCTCAGATTCTTAACTCCCAGATTCTATGTTTAAAAATCACTTAACACTGTGTATTTCCAATAGCCATCAAGGCATATACTGTCATCCCTGACACAGAAGATTGTCAGCAGACTCAATATGTACACTAATGATCTCAGGCAACAATGCCCATCTTCTTATCAAAGAGATCCTTATTCCAGAAGAAAAAGTTTAAAGTTCTCTAAGAAAATTCATTCGAAACCATAGGAAGTAGTCACTATAAAATGTCAGAATCACTAATACCTCTTACTTCTTCTTAAGTTTATCTCACATGCTAAATTTCAAAACCAAAAACTGTCAGGCACTATAACATTTTTAGTTTTCTCCCAAGTCGCCAGTGCTCTATTCTAGCACTGTCAAATAATGATAGCTGCTGTCATTATTTTTATACAATAGCTGGCAGCAAGTTGCACAGAGACCCTTCATCTTAGAAGAGTTACCAAATACCTCAAACAAATGTTGGGACCTTACAGTAGTACTGACCACCTTCCTAAAGTCAAAATAAGTGAGCGCTCATGCCTTATTGATACTTTTTTGGCCAGAGCATTAGCTGTTTTATTTAAAAAAAAAAAAAAAAAAAAAAAAAAAAGATTTTACTTATTTTATTTTTTTAACTGTTTAAAAATAACTTTTTTTCCTCCTTACACATATATTCCCATCCTCTCCTTCCTGCTACTAGAAACTGTCTTAAAGGTTTTCACATTTACTTTTAGCTTTAACACTTTCAATCAAAATTGCAATTCCGTTTTTGGAAGCAGCCACCCTCCAGGAAGTATATTTGAAGATATTAAAAAATGCAGAAAATAAATAAGTTCTTTTCATTTAACAAAGTCAACAATGCATGTAAAGGGATTTAGGAAAACCGGTGATCTCAGACACAAGCGATTTGACAGGCCAGATGCACACAAAAATTATTCCAAGTCACGGAAAAACATCAGAGTGACCAATTCTAGGTCTCTTGTACTAATTAATAGACAAGAGTTCCTCTCTATCACTATTTGCTTTGGCAATCTAAAATGCTGATATTCTTCTAGATCTAACAGAGAGGAAAAATGGGTATCTTCTCCATCTAACACCTAAGTGGGTAACCTAGATACTGTAAATAGAGGCTACATAAAGGATGCAAGAGACAGCTCTGAAGTGAGAGCCAAAATATTTAACCTGCAACTCTTTGGAAAAGAATCTGAAAACACGTGCATCTTAGCCAAAACCTGTACTAACATGGAATTGCCACAGGCTAGTAAGTTAAAAAACTCTCTACCAAACATAAGTTGACTGTTGTTGGGTGAGAAAAGCTCAAATGTCAAAAGCACAGTTCTTATTTGTTCAAATTGATCATGCCTACACTCTGCACTGTTTATTTAAAAAGATGAGTGAACTGCCTTTCTGAAGCAAGTGCTTGAAAAACCAGAATCAAATTCACAAATAAAGCAGCCAATTAACCAATTGACAAGCATTTTCCTGTGGTTGTGTCTAGGGGATGACAGTCGAGTCTCTGATTAACAGTTACTCCCTACCCGATACATGCAATGTTTCTAAAGCCAACAGCTAACTAACAGAAACGACATATTCATCTCTTTTTACTCTTTGGGAAATTGTGTGAGCTATCTGAGAAATAAAAACATTACACCAAATAACGAGTATATTGAAATGTAAAAATTCTATTGCCTAAATTGTAGTCGTAGTATATTTTTTATCAAATCAACTAGCAAAAAAAAGAATGCAAAAGATTCATTATGAGAGTAGCATGATAATTTAGTATACATTCACTCACTAACTTTACTAGTTTTTTCTTTCTAAATGATAAAGGAATTATACGGACTGCTTCTAGAATTAAATTTTCTTAGGAAATGCTCATTACTTAAAAGAACTACAACTTTTAAATAAATAAAGCAAATTCAAATAACTCAACCATAATTTCAAGTCAATAGTTAAAAGTACTTAAAGTTAATAAATTGCAAAATGTATTCAATAGTATTCTATATAAATTGCTTATAATTCAGTAGTCTTTACTAATTACTAAGCTCGTAGCTTTATAATAACTTAAAAGTTTCGAGAGCTGTTAGAAGTAAAAAAAAAAGTTGCTCTCTCTGGATAGTCAGAATACATTTCTGAATATGCTCACAATTAAGTAGATGATTCACTTTTCTTAGTTACTAAATCTTCAGGGGGGAAACAAAGGAAAGAAAATGCCTTTCCTTCACATACCGCCAGAACAGAAAACTTGTAAATTTAATTATATTTACATGTAAGTCCAATGTCCTTTCTATAACATATAAGAATAAAATATAAATCAAAAGTATAAAGAAAACAAGATTTCAAATTACTTTTGAGTAAGAGTAATAAAGCACTTGCACTTGATAACTAAACTGATAAAACACTGTAATTAAGAAAAAAGCAACCATATTCTTAATAAAGGAAAGCATTTTGTCTTCCGTCACTGACAGCACGTAAGTTGCATCTTATTACACAAAAACAATGTATATTACATCAGTAAATGACCGTTTATCAAAAATAGTAGCCAAAACTGTCTTTTCCTACAAATTCAAAACATCTTTCCAAATTTTATCAGTTCTTCTCTGAACAAAAGACTTTCAACCTTGTTAGAGAAATGGATATAAATGAGTTCTATAAATTTTCAATTACACTTCACTTCCAATGCTTTGGAGAAGAAACTTTCACATTTTTTAAAAGCAAGTAACACTATAATTTTATCACTGACAGTTTAGCTTTCTACCAAGGCAATATAAAATTATTTCATTTATTAACTGTGAAGAGTCCTTTGGAAGTGACGTTTCCACATTTTTTACCCAACAACAACAAGAAATCTAGTCATAAACCTGGCAAGTCAAAACAATAACCAGCAAATTCTAACCTTTCTTACCTGATACAGGTAAGCACCAGCTCCCAAATGCCACCTTGGGATAGTTCAGACTAGTAAGCAGGCTCATGTTTTATAATACTAGAATGAACAGGAATAAATCTGTGTTGTTCTTTCTTTAGCAAAATCTATAACAGTAGCTATACCACAATGTGAGAGGACCCCACAGACCTAACAAATTCAAGTCTGTTGCTGGAGAAATAGAAAAAAAAAAAAATCATAAAACGAAGACTTACTGCTTGTCATGTGACTTGGTGAGGCATGCTGTCCATTGGGTGTGCTTGAGGTGAGGTCAATTGCCATATTGGAGTGTTCCCTTTCGGGTGAAAGCTCATTGTCACCTGCTTTCACAAAATATAATCTTTTGGTTTCTATTCATTGTCACGTAAGACGTAATTACTAACTTTGCTTTATACACGCAATGGCATGCATAGCCTTCAAACTGTAAGGTAATACATTTTTCCCTTAAAAAAAACTATAAGGAAATACCAATAGAAATACACAGTTGAATGAAAGGATGAAAAGCCATAATCAACCCACAATAAAAAAAAAAATTAACAAAACTGCATTATCTTAATACATAAATTGTTGATTTCTAAAGTATCTTTCAGTTGAAAGAAATAACTTTTCTTTTAACATCTAATTTAATTGCTAAGCATACAGAATATATAATGAGCATTTTCCAAAATGCTAGCTATCAGAGAGAGGATGGAAAAGACAGGTAGTTCAAGAAATGTCAAGTTAGGAAAGCTAATTCTCTTTCACATAATATGTCTGAAAAACGAGGTTACAGAGAAGTAAATATTTAGTACACATCACATTAATAGACATAAATGAAACCTAGACTATTCTAAACTTACAACAAACTAAATTATAAAAAGTAGGAAAGTGCTGATCTGCCAGCTACTATTGATTTAAGTACACTACTTAACTTAGTATATTTCTATATTTCCTTCTTATTTCACTTCAGTGCTGTTATTTTCTCAAACTCATTCAAAGGTGAAATTGTGAACAGATAGAAAAAAAGAGTACAGAATTCTTAATAAAGTTTCATAATCCAGGAATTAAAACACAGGTAATACAAAGGCAACTTTATTACCAATAACAAATTAATGAAAACTATTACTTACACGTTATATAGCCATCAATAGCCTCTGTTTCCATAGTCAAAGTGCAATGCTGCAAAACAAAAGATTATACCCTTAATACAATGATTCCTTTCAGTATCTGCCATCAAATTCTTAACTTATTTGAAGCTCCAAGCAGTTGGTCCATGTTGCTGCTGCAACCTGTGCCCAGAAACATACACAGTGTACTGTATGTGCTCATTTGCAAGTCACTGAACTCTTTCTGCAAATGATCTGATTCCTGCTGGAGATAGGATAGGAAAGATAAGTGTGCAGTGAGATGGGCAAGAGCAAAAAAAGAATGACTGTCTTAATCAAAATTTACTGGGTTTAAAGAAAAAATAAGGGGTACACCTCAAATGTGTCAGTTTTAACTGGGATTTAAGTGTTTTACCATTCGCTACTTCCCACAATCACACTGCAGTTTGAGGACTTCCCCAGTATACAGATAGCTCTATTCACAATTGTTGCAAGTTGGTTCATCATGTTCTAATAGGGAGGGGGAGGACAAACAAACATAAGAAAAAAAACAAAACAAAAAACTTAGTGCCCAACGGTGTCTTGAAGATTTCTACAGCAGTTGGCCAACTCCCTGACTTGTATTGACATTTTAGCCTACCCCAAGTTCTGTGTAAGCACCTGTTCAATGTAACCTTAATTTCCTGCCAGACCATGCTTGGATACAAATGCCAAGCCTACTTAATACAGTCTGATTTTGAAAATTTCATAAACTTTGGTTGTACTAGAGAGAATCACTTAAAAAAAAAAAACCTTTGGACAATTATTCTCATGCACAAATGACACAAAACAGAACATAATTCTCAGAAACAAAAGTAAACTGTATGAGATGACACCCCCTAGCTTTGATTCACATAATGAAAAGATCGATAATCTAACTGTATTCTGTGGGGGAAAAAAAAGTTTAAGAATTGACAAGTCCTGTGAAGATTTTTACTTTTTCCCCCCTTTGGCCTTGGTCCTTTTTGCCTTTAGTTTCAAAACTCTCACTGCACCAGCAGCTAAATTATTCACAATGAGCCATTTCTGTATTGATCGCCAAGTATATTTAGCCCTGGCTCCTGGAATTTCTCCATTACTTACTGGAAAACAGGCAGCTTCACTTCTTGTCTCCAAAACCACTTCCCTTCTCCCTCCCCTCCCCTTCTTCACCACCACCCTCCCTTACTACCCCCCCTCAAAAAAAAAACTTTTCTTTCTTTCTTTATGGAATAATCAGATCAAATTCCCAACTCAGTCACTACATAGCACTTAAATTTCAACCTGCTGTACTGTTATCACATTCTTTTAAATTATGATTACATAAGGCTTTTAAGAAAGAGATCCGTAAAGTTTAAAAGAGGAGCAGTTTCTTTTACAAATGAGCTTATCTCTTTAAAAATGTACACATTTAACACACACACATTAAAAAGAAAGAAACGTCAGGGAGAAGCGAAAGAAGGCTGCCCCATCAATGAAATGGTTATTAACCCTCAGAGAAGGAAAGAAAGAAAAAGAAAAAGGAGAAAGAGAAACGAAATGTACATACAAAAGAAATTGTCCTTTGATTAAAAAAGATTCATCACCATTTCCAGCTCTGTCGGGAGATCTCAGCTTCTTCTAACCCCTCAAAGAGGAGGTGACAATGTCGGGCTGAAGATAAACGGAGGGAGAAAGAAAGAAGTTTTTTGTGTTTCCCCCTTCTCTCTTTCCCTCCCTTGCCCCCTCCAAGCCAAGCCCCCTGCAGAGTTCAAGGGGAGGAGGAAGGAAAAGCACTTTACAGGTGGGTCATTCCAAGCCCAAATCCAGCAAACAGATCGGCTGATAAACAAAACCAAGAAATGAGAGAGAAGGAACACCCCCCTTCTCCTCCTCCTCCTCCTCCTCGTCCTCCTCCTCCTCGTTCCACCCCTCCCCCTCGTCCCTTTGGGATGGTCTAGTAGGAAAAGTCACTCAGGAATGGCACCACGTACTTTCAGGAAAGAGGAAAAAAAAAGAGAGAGAGAGAGGTCAGTCAGTGCTATAGCAATGCGATTAACAAGAGAAAAAACTTGATCCACCGGTTCCTTAAGAATCGACCAAAAGCTAAGACAAGAAAACTGAAAGAAAAGGAGGGGGGGGCGGGTAGAGGGGAGGGACAGTCAGGCAGAACCCAGCTAGGAACCTAGGCCAACTTCACAGGACTGTTTTTGGCCCTTGGCAAAAAAGAAAAAAAATAAATCTTAATTCCATCTCTTTCGCCCATACTAGAACCTGTCAAAGTTATTTAACTGCTGCCTTTTTACATATGTCATACCAGGGTTTTTGTTTTTGTTTTTTTTTTGTTTTTTTTGTTTTTTTTTTTTAATTCCAACAGGATCTGGATATTACCTTCTATCTGGACAGCTGCAATTTATTCCAGCCTACCCAATCTTTCTTCTTGAAATTCAAGTTAAAACAAAGCAAAACAAGTCCAAATTCATGACAGCTATAGAGATGAGAACTGATTAATCGATTAACATCCCAGAAACAGATTACAAGGAGGGGACGATAAATTAAGGCAGAGGACATCATCTTCAACCCGATTCCCTGAGCGTCCTTTACAAAAATCATTACCCTAATCAGAACCACAATCCATCCCTCCCAGAGAAAAACACCTATATTATTATTATTATTACTGGTTAACAGCAACAAGTCATTTGATCACACCACAGTGCAAAACGAGATGCTATATAATTACACTTAACTTTGAAAACACTCCCCCCTTTGCAAATCATACACATATTTATATATAATCTATGAATCAGAAGACAAATAAAACAAGAGCTGTTCTTCACCACGCAAAAGCCAAGCGGAGATTTACCTCAGCAGTGCATGCAGTAAAATAATCCCATCACCCTTTTGTTTGTGTTTACTGTTAATGTGTCCTCTGTCTTTCTTTCTTTCCTGTGCCTAACGTGTGTTTGTGCACTGCAGTTGGTGGTGGAAACTAAGGCAGTGGATCTGTAGCTAAGGGTAATCCTGTTTTTACTTCCTCCATCTTCAGCGAGGAGCAGGGTTAGCCCGGGACAGCTGGTCAAACCCCGAGAAACCGATCCGGTGGAGCCCGAGCACATCTCCCCCGCCGGCCGGGCTCGCGCAGACGCCCGCGGGCGGAGGGCGGGCTGGCGGCGGCGGTGTTGGCGGCGGCGGCGGCGGCGGCGGCGGCGGCGGCGGGCGGCGGGCAGCGGAGCCCCGGGCGCGGGCGGGCGGACGTGCGTGCGCGCGCGTGCGTGTGTGCGGGTCCCGAGCGCCTGTGCGTGTGTATGAGAGCGCGTGTGCGCGCGCGCGCGCGGGCTGGCGGGCGCGTGTGCGCGTGTCTGCGCGCTCAGCCGCTCGGCGCGCTCGGCAATCGATTACAGGACAAGTGCTGCCCCGGAGGCTCCGCGACGCGCGCACTCCCTCGCGCCCACCCGCGCGCCCGGCCGCGTCGCCCCCAGCCCGCTGGTCCCCGGACTGCGGACCCCGCCCCCGACGGGGGCCAGGTAACCCGCTTCCGAGTGTGCCACGGCGACCCCCATCCCCCCTCCCCGTGTCATAATAAATCTCACGTTTTCTGCCAGCTGGAGGCTTGGAGCGGTGAGGGGACGTTCATTTCGGCCGCGTGAAGTTTTCTTTCAAACTGGGATTGGTGGGGAGGCCGGGGGAAGGGAGCGGGGCGGCGATCTTGGCGCCCTGCGCGGAGTCCGGGAGCCGCGTCCCGGCCCGAGTCGGGGAGTGCGCGTGGAGCCTCCCACCCACTGGTCTCCGCCGGCAATTCTGCGGCCCCATTTCGGAAAACGCACCGCATTGACCGGGACATGAAGCGGCATAAGAGGGGTCCTGGGGAATAGACTGGGAAAGGCATTCACGTCTGAGATGAAGCTCAACTATTACTATTTTGAAAGTGCTTTAACAGCGCAAGCTTAAAATTAACGTGTTTACTTGCTTTTTCTCCCCTGAGGCATGTGCCACGTCCCCCAAAGTCAACGGAATGGATGAGGGTCCGAAAAGTTGCTACCTTTGAAGTACCTATCACTATCAGTCACAGCTTGTTTATTTGGAAAGAACTTAGGTGAACCGTCAGGAGAAAAACAAATGCATATTCTTTCTACAAATAGTAGCATTTAGTATCTTTCTTGACCACATTTGCGAAAAGAGGGAATAGAGACTTCTATAATTAAAGGGAAAAGGAAAATGAAAGGAGCTGAAAATAGTGAACTGTGTAGTCTGGGTGGCTGAAATTTGAAAACACATGAAATTATCAGGACTGCCAAACGGTGTTTCTGAGAAACCATATCACAGATTGTGAAGAAAATCAATGCTGGAAGAGTCGGAACAGGCACCGTACTCCTACTCCTTTGAAGAATTCCAGAAATAGTTGTTGAGGTTTTTTTTCTCCTGAGAAAAAAAACGATATATTGAAAATTAAATCATCAACGGTACCTTAAGCACCACTCTATAGGTAATTTTGGATAGTGTCTTTTCTCTACATTTTGATACGGGGAAGGAATTAATTCACATCGACACAAACTAAATAATGGATACCATATAACTTGTGTGACACTGTAGCTTTTATAATGAATTACTTCTTGAAAGGTTTTTTGCCATACATTGTATTATTAAACAATTATAACGATAGTCTCTTTTTGTTTAACTATAGAAAATGGTAGATGGTGTGATACAGCCAACAAGATTAACAAATTTTCGTTGGAGAGAAATTATTTGGGCTCGGGCTTGCAATAACATTATGATGATTTTAAGGAAAATTGCAGTTCCTGTGAGTTATATATTGGTAAGGCAGATTTTTAAACACTTAGTTGCCAGTTATTTAAATAAAATTAGTTTTCCTAAAGTCATATTTGGGAAAGTCTGAGTAGACAACCAGTAAGTCACTCTAATTATCCCAGCAGACAGCAAATATTTTAGTCTTAAATTACCTCAAAAAATCTGTATGTCGTTTATAATATGTAAATGCCCAATATATAAAGGATAACATAAGTTCTCTAAATTGTCATAAGTCCTTCCTAAAAACTGAACCTAAGTGTTTAGGTATCTGTACAGTTATAGAGATCCTTGAAAATATGAAATAAAGGTAATCGAAATTAAGATGAAATGTGTTTGATAGTTTACACAATTTAATTATTTGGTAGAAGAGGATCCACTGTGAAATCTTAAAGATACGTCCTCAGGTTCCCCAGAGTTACCAAGTTGATGTAGCCCTTGCACCTAGTTTATTGGAGCTTAATTTAGCTTCCTTGAAGCCTGTCCTTTTCAAGAGTTAACTTTCATTGGCTCCCTAGTCACCAGAGGCACACTTTCTCCCTCTAGTGGCTAAGGCTTCAGACACTACATTCTGTCATCCTGCCTTCCCCTGATTGGATCCCAGATTTTAGAATAACAAAGATCTCATGACCACCTGGGAGAATTGGACCATCTTGGCAAATGTTTCCCTCTTTTTAACATCCTACATTCCTTTCTTATTTGCAGATTATGGTGTATCTAACTCATCGAGAGAAATCATGATTATGTTTTCATACCAAGATTGGGGGTTTTATTTCATGGCTGTGGAATCTATAGTCCTAAGATTCACAATGCAATCCCCTCATGGGAAAGAAGCCTTGTATAAACTGTGATTGACTTTGTTCAGAATTTCTCTGGGTAGTTTTGTTTGTTAGTTTTGGTTTTGTTTTTGTTGAGACAGAGCCTCACTCTGTCACCCAGGCTGGAGTGCAGTGGTGCAATCTTGGCTCACTGCAACCTCCGCTTCCTGGGTTCGTGTGATTCTCCTTTCTCAGCCTCCCAAGTAGCTAGGATCACAGGCGCCCACCACCACACACCTGGCTAATTTTTGTATTTTTAGTGGAGACGGGTTTTCACCATGTTGGACAGGCTGTTCTCGAACTCCTGACCTAAGGTGGTCTCCCAAAGTGCTGGGCCTCCCAAAGTGCTGGGATTACAGGCGGGAGCGATTGCGCCCGGCGTCTCTGGGTAGTATTTTGATAGTTAGAGGGTGCATTTATTTCTGTCCTTTGCCAGAAGACATAGACTGTACACTTTTTTTTTAAGGTACACATATAGCTATACCATGCATTAAAATATACCACTAGGGAAGTGGAGTACCATGTTCTTTGGCCACTGTATCCAGTTGGAGAGTTAAGTTTTTACTTTAGGGAAGAAGTGACAGGGTGGGGAGGAAACAGACCCGTCAACCCTTACCATTTTTGACGTAGCTGGTTCTTTCTGACCCTTGCTGTCCCAACCTACCCAAACATTTTCTTGCACCAATTTTTATCGTAGCACCTTGAATATTTCCTTCATAACATACTTTGTAAATATTTTATTAATGTGTTGAGTGTTAAAATAAAGTCTGTCTTTACCACTGGGATATGATCTTTCTAAGGCCAGGGATTATGTCCTGTTAATCATTGTTTTCTCAGAAGTAACATAGTATTTGGTACAAGTTGGTACTCAATAAACATTTATTAAATGAATGAATCTGAAGGAAATTATATAGTCAGCTAGCTTTCATGTATTAAACTCTTTTCAAAAGACAAAAAAGGTCAGATTTCAAAGATACATGCTGATTTCAAAAAGAATTTGGTCAGATCTTGGCTCATAAGTCATATTACAGGTATCCTTAACAGGTCAGCTCTAGCTTACAAGCTATACAAAGGATCTGAACCTCTTGGTAGATAGCAGTTATATTTACAAAATGTATATAAAATACAATGTTATATAAATTTTTAAAAATTATATATAAATATATATTTTTAACATTTGTATATTTTGCAAACATAAATGTGAAAAGTGGCTAAAATTGTATATAAAATGCAATTTGGAATAAAATACATTTATGTAACCCTTCTGTTTCAAAAATGAATTATTTCCTGTTACTACCTGACAATTCATGAACCAGGGTGACTATCAAGAAATGCAACAGGTTTAATTTTGTAATCACTAAGTGTGATCAGCAAAAGAAAAATTTTATAAATCAATATAGCTAAAAGGTACATTATAGAGTGTTGGTTTTGTTTCTTTGAGTAGTCTGTTTTATCTGTTTTAGATTTAAAAGTCCTAAGTACCCTTTAAAGGAATTTGGATAAAATCTCCTTTTGTTTGCTCAAGGAATTAACTGTATATTTTTAAGTTGTGGTTTTGTTTTTAGCAGAAGGTGGGAGGGGACAATTTCAAAAATTGTAGTAATTTCCTTAAAGAAGACATTTTTGGAAATGAATTCTATATTAATTTTTTTATTTAAATGGCTTTATTGTGCTAGATATAGAATATAATGAACCAGAATAGGTACCCTAAAATAACTTGAATCCCTGAAAAAGTTAAGAATAACAGGCACACATAAGCACAATGTTTTAAAACCGATAACTTGTTTTATTTTTGTCAGGTGATGTTGTTCTTGTCTTTGAAGTAGTGTTCTCTTTTTAAGCGGGATATGGAACAATGGTCTCACTTACTCCTGTTGACCTAGATTGGCACTATGAAGAAGCAAGAAAGCCAAAAATGGAACTACCTTTTCAAAGAAAATATTCTAAGATACCAAATCCAGTTCATAAGTAAAGCATATAAGTACTGTCAAACTTAACTTCTGTCACTACACTGATAGTCTGGGGTCTGTTCAGCTGGCATGTAAGTCCCACATGGTGAGGGTCTTCTAATTCCATCTACCTTAAACAATAGTTTCTTTTAACAGTCTTAAGAGTGTCACTTTGCAATTAGAGATAAGGTTCTTATGCAAATACTCATGTCCCTTAAAAAGGTAACATTATGACTTAAATTCACACGTTGATAGAATAATACTATCAGATTTCTT